TGTCTAATTGAGGTCTAGCTGACTGAAATGTTGTCATATAAATCTATGATAGGAAGTTGTTCTTATGTTTGAATGCATAATTTTTGGCAATAATATTATTTTTCTGCGGAAGGAAATTGCGCATTGCGCGAGAGCCGTTTATGCACGCATGTATCGGACTAGAAACTGCATGATATGATTGTTGAGAGAGAGGTGGGTGGCAGACTGAGGCAAGCGCGGCAGGGAGGAATAGCTTGAGCAGCGGCGAAGAAGAATAAAGGTGATGAGGGATGAGGGAGTCAAGGGAAGACGGAGGAGTGATAGGAGTATTGCCCTACAGGCCTGAGGCACTCTCGGCTAATTATAAACACAGTCTACTGATATTAATTATATTTTAGAAAACCTCTATGCTGAGATCCCCTAACCACATTAAATGCATATTCATGTAACAAATATAATACTCTGGTTCGATAATTGCGCATTGGCGTAACACACTGAAACGCGTGGCCAGATTGTGTTACTGAGTGGTATATTTACGCGTATCTTACATAAAGCTATAGTATATCAGGTTTAGGGGCTGCTGCTTTATCAACACCAGTCTTACTGATATATTTATATTCAGAAATTATGGCTGAGATAACCCCCTAACCACATTAAATGCTATTCATAAGCAAAAATAACTCTCTCTGTTGTATATTGCGCATAGCACTAACAACTAACGTGGCCAGATTGTGTATTGACTGGTATAATGGAGGGGAGCACGTTAACATGCAAGATCTTCTTCCTATGTCTACTGATTAGAATGTTGTCTTATAGCAAATCTATGCTAGGATAGTTCTCTTCATTTGATGCATAATTTTTGCAAAATATCAGTTTTCCCGGAGATAATTGCGCAAGCATGACTCATTCCTCACTCACATCAGGTGCACTCACTCACTCACTCACTCACCACCTACATCAACTCACATCACTCACATCACTATCATGTCACTCACTAGTCATCCATCACTCACTCCTCAACTCACTAACGAGATCTTTCTCGTCGTTCCTCGCTCGAGCGCTTACGACCAAGGTAGTTTTCTCACTGTCCTTTGTTACGCGATCCACGCATCGCACGTGTAGTAAGCGGGCAGGCATAACCTCTCGCGCAGCCGATTCGGCGCGGCCACAGGTGTGCTGGCGGCGCGGCGGTGGGGATGCATCCTGCACGAGCGGCCAGGATGGTCTCTGGGTCGCCCCGTGCGCCGTACGACGCCAGCACCTCCGCGGCACGCCCTGCACGGCTCTCCGCGCGCGAGTGAAGCGTGGTCACGCATCCTCTGCCGAACGTAATGCAGTCTCGCTCGGGTGGCCGACGTCCGGCCACGACGCATGCGGAGATATGCGTGACCGGCTGTAACTCGCCGAGACATCCGTCGGCAGCATGCCAACATCACCACGTCGCACAGCGTCAGCTGCATGCTTCGGTGAATGCATCGCGGCGCGTCACACAATAAATATATCTCTTGAGATGTATCGTGGCTGATGGTTTGCGTCACGCCGCGGCGTTTAGTTTTCATCGATGCGACGTCATGTTAGTAAATGCGCTTTATCGTGGGTCGCTCATTGTCGATACTGGCCTGAGGCAGGGGGTTGGTGGCTCCTCGCGATGCATACTGAGGCTGGAACTGGCTTAGACTGCGAATCATGTAGCTGAGCATATATGTGGTTTACTAGTAAGGTTGATATGCGTACTGACTAGTTGATCTGGGGAGCGTCAGTTCTGCTGCTTAGGGAATATCAGGAGTGTAGAAACAGAAATTCGCGATTGATATGCACAGCCTTGGGGTGAGCAATGTTTTTAGAGATAGATTATCATCGAGAAGGTCCCATGCCGTGTGCGGCGTGCGCGTGCGGTTGAATTGTGGTATGTGTGTGTGTGTTTGTTGTGTGGTTGTATGCGATTAGTGTGTGTGTGTGTCGTGCGTGCGTGCGTGTGTGTTGTGTCTAGCCTGTGTGTGTGTGTCGTGCGTGCGTTGTGTGTGTGGGTGTGCGCGTGTTGTATGTTGTATGTGTGCGTGGTGTTAATGTTGTGCCGTGCATGCGTGTATGCTGTGTATGTGTTGGCGGTGCAGTGTATCGTCGTGCGCGCGTGCGTGTGTGTGGCTGGTGTGTGTGTGTGTGCTGTGTGTGATGTGTGTGGTGCGCGTGTGTGTGTGTGTGTATGTGGGTTGTGTTTATGTGTGTGTGTGAGTGTGTGTGTTGTGTGTGTGTGTGTGTGTAATGTGGTGTATGTGTGTGCGTGCGTGTATGTGTGCGTGCGCGCGTGTGAAGCGATCTCTACATTACTCACGAACAACAGATTATGTTTTCATGCTCATGTAGATTCCGTTAATTTATACCTATTTCAAATTGGTCACACATCGGTATCATCTATGCCTGTGTCAATGACACGTATTGTACTGCAAATGTCCTTCACAAGCGAAACGGCAAAATATAATGATTAATAATAATATCTAAATATAATCAATTGTTGACATCTATCATGAAATCTCGGAGCGTTTGCAGGCAAGCGACATCGCTGCAAAGTTGACAACGATCTGCGAACGTTATAGCGTGATTAGATCAATATCGACAGCCAAGTCACGCGAAGTAGCCGTTCAATAGACAACTATTTTCGACACTAGCGTAGTTCGTCTATAAAGACATGGGCGTAAATCGCGCCATGAACATCTCTCGAGTATATAATGAGTGCCGATGTGTTTCAACCCGCAACGCTTGGTGTAAATAATTTTTTTCTTTTCTTGTTTGTCGCCGACGGTCATAAACCGGTAATATGCTACCCTGGATAAACCCGGACGAACAGATTTACGGATTCACCCGCGTTGCCGGCAGCTTGGATTAATCTGAACCGTCTCTTCGAAGCAGGGTAGGACGAGTTCGTCTCTATATCCTACTGTGTTTATTCGCGCAGTGAGGCGAGGCAAGAGGCTGAATGTAAACCATCCTATGAATGAAATAAGTTCATTGGATTTCGTTGAAACTATTAATTATATTTATGCTTGTGTTAAAGCCGAGAAATTATAATCTATGGTTTTGCTGTATTATATACTCATCTCATATACATATATATATATATATATATATAGTAATATATATTATATAGTATATTATATATATACCACACATATATATATATATATATGATACACACACACTATTATATAATATATAATATATACACACACATATATATATATATATATATATATATATGATATATATAGTATATATATACTAATGTGTGTTGATGTGTATATATATATGTGTATTCACACACACACACATATTATATATATATATAAATTGTAATATATATATATATATATATATATATATATATATATACTTATCATAAACCTTTACCGGATCGGTGCTGTGGATATAGCATAACCCAGGAAATACAGCGGGCGGGCTGGATGGGTTATCACAAACGCTTAACCATCTAATGTAGCGCACGAATGTGTCCTGTCGGTAACATTCACACGTATACTCACTCTTACATCGCGCAACATAACGCACCTCCTCCCATCCTACTCGCATCGCTCATCTCGAAACGCGCGAACACTGAATGAAGGATCATCCCTTTATTCGCGAGTACAATCCACCTATAACCCCATCGAGCCCTCGCACCGGCCGTACGAGCGACAAACATAGCGGTCAACAATGCCCGCTGTTGTCGGCTGCCCGCGTTTCGCACACGTGCGGACATTGCGACCGACAAATACGATGATTGCGCGTTGAAGCAGACGCCTGGCACGCACAAGGGAGGGCTGTGTGCGGGAGAGAGGCGGAAGAGTGAACAGGCTGGTATGAGGGGGTACTGTGATAATGATGGGCTGGTAATTGCTGCACGTGTGGTGCGGATGATACGAGTCTGCATCTATTCTGTCCCGATTAGGCGCGCGCTGGGGCCCGGAGAAGACGCCGTTAGCTTCACATCGGGAGACCTGTTATTTTGGTCGGTGACCATCGGGAGGAAAGAGTGGGAACGATTAAGGGAGGGAGGTTAACGTACAGAGAATAAAAGAGAGCGAGCGAGAGAAACAGAGAGAGAGAGAGAGAGAAAGAAAGGGAGCGCGAAAGAAAGAGAGAGAGAGAGAGAGAGAGAGAGAGAGAAAACGTAAGAAATAGATAGAGAGAGGGAGAGAGAAAGAGAGAGAGAGAGAGAGAGAGAGAGAGAGAGAGAGAGAGAGAGAGAGAGAGAGAGAGCGAGAGAAAAAACCCCGAAAGAAATAGATAGAGAGAGGGAGAGAGAAAGAGCGAGAGAAAGAAAGAGAGAGAAAAAGACACACACAGAGAGAGAGGGAGAGAGAAAGAGAGAGAGAAAGAAAGAGAGAGAAAAAGACACACAGAGAGAGAAAAACAGAGAGAGAGAGAGAGAGAGAGAGAGAGAGAGAGAGAGAGAGAGAAAGAGAGAGGGAAGGGGACAGAGACAGGGTAGATAGAGAAGAAAAATATAGCGGGAAGAGATGCGGTAAAAAGGGAGGGATATAGGTTTAGAGAGGAGAGAGTAAAAAGTGAGATGAGAATTAGGCGATGTGAGTGGAATGTTAATGCAAACAGAGAACGCGAAAAGAGAGAGCGAAATTGAGAGAGAGAGAGAGAGAGAGAGAGAGAGAGAGAGAGAGAGAGAGAGAGAGGAGGAGGAGGAGTGCGAGGAAACGAGAGAGAGAAGAGAAGCAAATGAAGAGAAAAAAAAGCACGAGCAATATTGAGATAAAAAAGCAAGATGTATTTTCACAAACTAGACTAGATTACATCATTAACATATTATTCAAAACATAATCAAGATTATCATCCATCGTGTCGCCATGTCTTACATCGCAGCAGGTCGCATCGCGGAAGGCAGCATCGCTCTGCCGGAAGAACAGACTACGGGATAATAAAGCAAGTCTCTGTTGTGCTGCGCGTCGGCAGATTAGCGAGAGCAGCAGCGGCAGCAGCAGCAGGTAGTAATGCGAACAGGTGCCGTCGCTCTCCTGCGTCAAACGGACGCGTTCTCTCGTACCTGCTCAACGAAAGTCCGTCATCCGCGCGTCTACCGGCGATAGCTCCAGTAGGGGAGTCTTATAGCGATCACGGCCGACACGCGTCGTGCGCGGGGGACATCTTAACGCCTGCACGCGTAATAACAGCAGCTCACTTGTTCCGTGGAGCGTGAGCGTCTTTATCTAACGTCGCTCGACTCGTTGCGACGGATTGCATGAGAGTGCAGCTCGAGGGACCATCGCAACGCGGCGAACATTTCGTATATATTGAGAATGACGGGAAGAGGTAGTGATGCCGCGCCATCGCTGCCGCTGCTGCTGCTGCTGCTGCTGGTAAGTGCGCTGTCAAATATGCTAATGTCGCCTAGTATTTACATTTTTGATTATTCGTAGAGAGCGAGTTTAATTGAGTAGGTATCGACGTCGATTGAATCTCGAGGAGAATAATTCATCAGCCGTCAATCACTCGCACCGGTTTTGGCGGTCCCGCGTTTTTTCCCCGCCCGCTTCTTCTTTACAGGATTCCCCCGCTAGCGGGTAATAAGTGCGAGTCAATCGCACCGGATTCCGTGCTATTAGCGCACCCGGCAGATAGATGCGATATGATATGACTACTAGGCACTTAGGATATGACTACTAGGCACTTAGGATATGACTACTAGGCACTTAGGATATGACTACTAGGCACTTAAAAAAAACCACCTAACCCTAACCCTAACCCTAACCCTAATCCTAATCCTAACCCTAACCCTAATCCTAACTTTAACCCTAACCCTAACCCTAAAAAAAAAAAAAATTTAATTAAATTAAAGTGCCTAGTAGTCATATCATATCGCATCTTTCTGCCAACACCGCTATTAGCACTATGCTAATGTCGTGCTCGTGCTGCATCGTGTCGACGCGTGCGGCCGGGAGAATTCAGCGTAATCGAGATATAATCGCGCTTTAATTCGAGCCTTGCGCGGTTGTGTGGTCTATATGCAGCGACTGCACGCGCGCTTTAATTCTATAGATCTACGCGATAGATTAAAATAAACAGCGATCATTACCATAATTTATCTCTATTCATATATATATATATATTTATATATATATATATATATATAATATAATTATAATAATTATATATAGAGAGAGAGAGAGAGAAGAAGAGAACCGAGAGAGAGAGGGACAATAAGAAGACAGAGGACAACGAGAAGAGGAGAGGGAGGAGATACAGAGAGAGAACGAGAGAGAGGGGGAGCGAAAGGGGGAGTGGTGCGAAAAAGATAAAGAGATTAACAAATGGCTTTTATTTAAAGATCTGATATTTATATCTATATTATATCCATCAAAGAGAGTGCTGAAACAATAATCCAAGCATATAAACCATCCAATGGGCCGGATTTAACCGATCATACTACTAAGCCTTTCCTCCCGCTAAATTTCTTTCCGGGTAACATATATAATTATGATCTAACATAGATTCTCAGCTATAGCACTCGACAGCATTGATACCTGGTGCCCTCTTCGGTAACATTGGGTTAACATTTCTATATTATGTACTCTGCGGTAACATTGGGTTAACATTTCTATATTATGTACTCTGCGGTAACATTGGGTTAACATTTCTATATTATGTACTCTGCGGTAACATTGGGTTAACATTTCTATATTATGTACTCTGCGGTAACATGTGGGTAACATTCTAATCTTGTATACTTCCGGTAACATGGGTTAAACATTTACTATATTTATTACTAACTCGTAAATCATTGGGTTAACATTTCTATATTATGTACTCTGCGGTAACATTGGGTCAACATTGCTGTATCGTGACCTTTGCGGGAACATTGGGTCAATATTAATATAACGTAATTTTGTAACGTGTGAACAACATTGGACGCCATTGAACTCGTTCAGCGAAGCCAGATCAATCCTCTACTTCCTTGTGTGTATCACGTGGGTTCAGTCAGTTATATGTGTCTATGTTTGATGCCATGCTATTTTGCGATCTGACCGCATTACCGATATTAACTAGGTTTCCCATTTCCCAACCTACTCTATAACAGTGAACTCTTTTGATAAAGTCACAGTGAATAAGGCAGCACTTGAAGTTGTTATTGACGATTTCACTGGTGCCTTGTCTCGTGTGGGAATTTCTCACAAGGTTATTAGGTTCCGAGGTAACGAATCCTGACATGGCGGCTATGTTACACATCTGAGGTTTTATGGAGGAACTGAATCTGCCGAGCTGTGCCAAGTGACTATTAAACTACACAGTATCAATTGGTAAACATTGATACCTGGTGAACTATGCACTGACTATTTGTACACGTTGATACCTGGCATGTATTCAATGCCGTATAACTACTATGCCAGAGCATTTTGTCTACAATATTATCATAATAGATTTATAAATGAGTCGAGTTTGCTCTTGTCCGCATGGGTGTAATAGAAAATCAAATAGCAAATGTGTTGATTTTGTAATTATCAACTATCCATAACTTTTGTTAATGATGCAATTAGATTGGTACAATTTGGAGTTTTCCTGCGCTATATGATATCATGAAAGCTCATAATAATGACATTAACAGGGAATGACAGTTTTCGCAAATATGAAATCTAAACGCGATAATTTCAATACATATAGAATAATTAGGCATTAAACTAACTCCGTTTTTTCATAATAAACGGAGACATGTTAGGCTGGCGTCCTACAACCACGTGACGATCACCGAAAAATCCAATTTAATACGGTAGACCTATAGTATAGACCGGTAGACGGTACCGGACCGGTATAGTATAGACCGGTAGACGGTACCGGACCGGTATAGTATAGACCGGTAGACGTATAGATACTGCTGATGTCAAACACTGACGTATATGTAGTGATAGGTGACAGCTAGCGTCAAGGCCCCTAACAGAACACGCTGCAAAATAGCACAAAATAACCGCTAATATGAACTTGCCCTAGTTTCACAAATTAGACAACAATCATCCACTCTATCCAAGACACCGTGTACACTCGGAGATGGCTCGATCTAAACCTTCTCACCTACATAATCCCAGAATCAACACAGTGTATAAGCGAGTTGGTGATGACGGCGGAGTTGCAAATATCGCAGCAATCTTTAGGTAAACTAATCAAAGGCGATCAGCCGTGAGGGACTACGGACTATAAGTAGATGCATCCATCCCGGTGCCATAGCCCACTGTCCATCCCGCGCGTGGAGCAACACAATGACGACATTTATCACCGCTCCATTAGCGTGTGTTTCCGCATGCCACTCATGCGCGTAGTTTTTTCTAATGCGCGTGTTTTTCCATACCTATCGTTCGGCGAATGTGCCGTTAGTGTGGTAATGGCAAATATCAGCGGGTGTTATTCTTGTACTAATATTCTGTTGCTTGTTGCTTTGCGCTCCTAATGAACTGGCTAGTACGCGCGCGCGAGTCTAGTTTTTCCGGTTATTTCTCGCGTGGACGCGCTCCCGTCCTTACCGATGATTACCCCATCTACTGGGAATAATTTGAGACATTTACCGGTGAACCGCATGTGTTTGTAAAGAGGGTTCAGGCCGCGTGTAAATGCCGTTGAATATTCATCGTGTATATAATAATCTTGGAATGTTGTGATTCTTACAGACGGCGATCGTCTGCAGAGCGCAACACACGAACAAAGGATTCGACCTGGCGCAGTATGGCAACGATGATAGCTACGACAACTTCGACTCGCCACCCCGCTTTAGCAGCTATGGTCGCCATGGCAACGGCGGAGACCTCAACGACAGACCGACAGGCGCCGGATACGCAATCTACGACGGACAGAGAGACTCTCAGTTCCCGCGTGGCGGCGCTGACACCGGCGCGAGCTTTCAGTTCCCGTCGGGCCAGCCACAATCCGGATACGGACCGGCCAGCGGTCAGTCTGCTTACGGCCGTCAGTCTACCTACGGCGGTCAGTCTACGTATGGCGGTCAGCCTGGGTACGGCGGTGACCACAGAAAGAGTACAAACAATCGATACCCTGGCCCGCAGTCGCAGCAGCAGCAGTACAGCCCCGCCCGCCCCAATCCTCGCAGCCAAGGATCCTCCTCCGGCGTGGGAAAACCGTCTACCTTTGGCTCCGTAAAGCTAGTCAAGTCCAGCAAGCTACCGCAGAGTCAGTCGGCGTTCGGAGCGCCCTCCAGCGGAGCGTACGGACCGAACAAGGCAACTGCCGACTACAGGAGTCCGACATCCGGATACGGTGCGGCTCCGTCGGTCAGTACGAATTACGGCGAGTTTACCAGCAGAAACGAGCCGACGTCTCAGCACGTCGCTATTGGCGGCTACGCAGGCCCCCCTAGCGGCTACGGAAGGACGCGGGTGGCGCCGCCTACCGGCTACGAAGCGTCGCAGCAAAACTATGGGAAGACACCGAGATTTACAGAAGCGCCTCAGATTGGCTATGGAGGAGCTGATAACATCTATGAAAGGACTTCGCAGTTAGACGAGACGCCCTCTATCGGTTACGGAGGGTTTGGCAACAGCGACGGTGCTGCCTCTCCGGTACATAAGGCGCCCTCTAGTGGATCAAGAGAATTTGTTAACAGCTATGGTTCTACCTCTTTAGTAGAGCAGACGCCCTCTATCGGCTATGAAAACTTTGGTAGCAGCTACGGTGCTGCCCCTCTGATCCAGAAGACGCCATCTACCGGCTATGAAAGATTTGGTAACAGCTACGGTGCTGCCACCCCAATCTTGAAGACGCCCTCTAACGGTTATGAAGGATTTGGTAACAACTACGGTGCTGCCACCCCGATCCAGAAGACGCCATCTACCGGCTATGAAGAATTCGGTAACAGCTACGGTGCTGCTACCCCGATCCAGAAGACGCCCACTACCGGCTATGAAGGATTTGGTAACAGCTACAGTGCTGCCACCCCGATCCAGAAGACGCCCTCTACCGGCTTTGAAGGATTCGACAGCAGCTACGGTGCTCCCACTCCAAAGCAAGACACACTTTCTCCTACGTTTGGAGAATTTGGAAAGAACTTTAATGCCGCTTCGTTTGTACATGAACTGCCTTCTACTGGATTCGGACCATTTAGTAGCAACTATTTATCCTCGTCACCAGCACAAGGGACACCCCATGAAAACTTTGGATTGTTTAGTAATAGCTACGGAGCTACGTCCCCATTACAAGACGCACCTTCCACTAGCTACGGTGCATCCGGTAACAACTATGACGTCATCTCTCAGCCGCAGAGACCTTCTAGCGGGTATCGCGAGAGTCGCATTCACCAACAAGTGGTGCCACCCCTGTCGTCCTACAAACAGCCTAGCGGACGCAGTAGCTATGTGCAGATTCCAGTGAGTAATCGGCCGCGAGGGGGCGCCAGTACGCGGAGGGATGACCTTCGTGACCTCTATCGTTACGGTCCTGCCCCGAAATCTGTCCGCGGCGCCGCGCCACAATACAACATCGGGGGATCAGGACCCCGGATAAGCAGCAATGCTGACACGCGTGGCGCCATCTACAACAGGAACGTCGGCTCGCCTGCCTATCGAGATACACACAATCAGAGAGACCAGAGGCAGAGAGATCAGAGACAGAGAGCCAATCAGAGGCAGAGAGACCAGAGACAGAGAGCCAATCAGAGGCAGAACACGAGAAGATTCGAGCCGCCGGAAGCGCGCCCTGGTGTCGGTTACGGCTCAGGATACCCTCTGAACGTGCCAGGCGCTTACAATTCACTCACAAAAGGTCAGTTGGTCGCGGAAGTTGTTCGTACCAGTGTTGTTGAACGCTTAATTATTTATTAATTCTGTTTTTAATTATTAATTGTAATTAATATATTAATTATTTATTTATTCTGTTGAGCGACGCCATCGAATGGCTGGCGTAAGCGTTGTAATAATGAATTATGTGTTGTTAAATCCCATAAGCATGGTAGCACGGCTAGCTATCATATCTCCTAGCTCTCACATTCTGGGCAGTCGAAGGAAACCCCAGAGTTAGTGATAATTATCACCCCAGCCTTCAGTGAAACATTTAATGGCCATTTGGGCCAAAGCGGAAAAAGTGACTCTTCGTTTCTAAGCGTTTTGTCCGGCTAACTGTTGAAGTGTGCGTTACAAATTGCCACTTCTATCTAGACTGCTGTCGAGTCGTTTGATGCATGCGATCTACATGCATCGCAACGACGTCGAACGCGTCTAATATAGAAAAACTCTGTGCGAAACAAAATTTCAGCGAAAGAATTTTTCAAAAGTTTTCAGGTTTTTTGTTTAAATTTTACATTCAGCGGCTTCGAAGGAACAAAATTGTTAAAATCATAAATGTGTTGATACGGCAGTGCAGGTAGAAGCGAATCGGCGGACAGGAATGAATGTACGGCCGCCGGTCGGTTCATGTCCTGTTGCATTTCAACTCGATTGTTTTCATAACCCAAGCATCGCCTTCATTGTAACCTGATCTGTTGTGTGTGCACAAGTAGATATTCCGTCAGTAATTTCGCGGTAGTAGTAGTGGGACGGTAAGTGCGTGTGTAGACATTTAGCGAGGATTGCGTATATAGCGAGGTCACTAACCGGATTACGATAGCGGCGCGCAGAGCGCGTGCAATTTCACATCGCAGCCGTTACAGCACGTTGCGTTATATGAAGCACAGAATACACACATGATGAACTCACACTATATCTCACATATATCTATATATTATATATATCCACATATATCTATGTATCTATATATCTATATATCTATATATCTATATATCTATATATATATTATCAAGAACATATAAAGAAGGTCTTCTTTATATGCTCTTGATATTATATATCTACATATATCTCTATATATATATATATACACATCTATATATCTATATACCTATATATCTACATAATACATCTACATATATCTATATATCTATATAATTATATCTATGGCTCGCGTGACGAGAGTAAGAGCTACGTGTGACAGATTCGTGTGTGGTTGTAATAAGCGTGGGACAACATAAGTAATTGGGGAACCCGTACGCGATGAAGTCGGTCACAACAAGTGGCGGATTAAGCGAGCACAGCACGAGAGAGATAAAATATTTTTCCATATTTACATATCAGCCTTTCCCGCGCGCGCTTTTTCCCGCGCGCGCTGTAGGTAAACTGCATACCTGACAGGTATTAACCTCGTAGTCTCCCCGAGGTACGGCGGTAACAATGTTTACTTGATTACAGGTGGTTACCGTAGGTTCGACGTGCACAGAAAAGGTCTCATCACGCCCCAACAGGCGAGCGTGTACGGTAACGCCATTTCGCACCCTGGCGGCGCTTACAGGCACCCGACCTCCGCCGACAACATTGACTACAACGACAATGGCAACTTCCTACGAGCGTACGGAACCACCGCCGCTGCTAAACTAGAGGGTAATTAGCGAAAATGAATTACTGCGAACGCGTGCCACGTCGCGGTGTTTTGCGAATTTGTTTGAGTAGTTTTTGCAAGTGACAAACACTCTTCTTAACTTAAGACATAACTTCTTGCACCGAATTGCGGTTCGCTGCTTAACAGCGAACGATGACTATAGTACTCATTAAACGCCGACGAATGTAAATTTCAAGCAGAGCAAAAACTGGATAAAAACACAGTTTATCAAGCAAAAATCCCGCTGTCTAGCAAATAAAGCGACATCTTACTTAACAAGTAAATCCGACAACACACCAACCCAACCGCCTCGCCTGTTAACACTCTATCCTTATTCTCCATTATCATCGACTCTGCTATCCTCTAACTATATTATCCTATAACTCACTCTATCCTCTATACTTATACTTTCCTACCACAGAACTAGAGGTTAAGTGCGACCTGGGCCGACGTACGATGATCATTCACATGAAGTTCAGTGACGGCTTCGTTGGCAGCGTGTACACGCACGGCTACAGCAGCGTGCAGCCGTGTGCTGCCAGCTTCACCGACGTCAAAGAAGCTGACTTCCGCATCCCGCTCGACGCCTGCGGCACTCACAGGGCTGTGATGGTAAGATGCACGCACGCACGCACGCACGCAACGCACACACAACACGGCGACACCCGCACGTACAGTACGCACGCACGCACGCGACGCACACAGACTGCGCACCCGAGCGGGGCCACCACGCACACGTACGCACGCAGCACACGGCCACCCACAAGCACAGCTGTACGCACGCACATGTACGCACCGTTGCATGCACACACACCGTCGCCGCACGGCAACGGCAGCCACGTAACGCTACGTTCATGGCACACCGCACGCACGCCACGACGTACGCACGTTCTGCACAGCACGGCACGCACGCAACACGTACGCACGCACCGCACGGCAGCCATGTACGCAGCGTTCATGCACACAGCGCAACGTGCACGCACACGTACGCACGTTTCATGCACACAGCGCGTCAACGTTCATGCACACAGACGCAGCACACGCACACGTACGCAGCGCCACCTCGCCAGCGCACACGTAACGCAGCCGTTCATGCACACACGCACGCACGCACACGTAAACGCCGCACATGGCGACGCCACACGTACGCAGCGTTCATGCACACACGCACGCACGCACACGTACGCACGTTCATGCCACACACCCCCGACGCACGCCACATGTTACGCACGTTCATGCATCGAGCGACGCCAGCGCACGCACACGTACGCACGTTCTATGCACACACAGCAGCCGCACGCACACGTACGCACGCAACGCCGCACATGGTACGCGAACGTTCATGCCACTACGCACGCGACGCAGCCGTACGGCACGTTCATGCAGCACACGCCAACGTTCATGCACACGACGCACACACCGCACCGACGTACGCACGCACGGCCACGCACACGTGAGCGGCACGTTCATGCACACCGACTGCTGCCCCAACGGCACGCACACGTACAGCACGCCACGGCAACGCACACGTACGAACGATTCATGCACACACCGCACGCCGCACAACGTAGCGCACGTTGCATGCACACACGCCACGGCCAACACGTAACCGGCACGTTCATCACACCGAGCCACGCAGCGCACGCAGCGACGTACGCACGTTCATGCCACACGCACGCACGACGTACGCACGTTCATGCAGCACAGCGCACGCACGAACGTCGCCACGTTCATAGCAACAACGCACGGCACGCACACGTACGCACGTTCATGCAGCACAGAAACCCGCCGTGCGCCGCGTTCGACCGTGCGCACGCCGTTGGCACGCAGCGCAGCACAGCGCGCAGCCCACGCACACGTACGCAGCGCACTATGTACGCACGTTCATCGGGCACACACGCACGCACGCCACACTCGTACGGCACGTTCATGCACCCAACGCACAGCACCACGCACGTACGGGCAACGCACGCAGGCGCACATGTACGCAACGTTCATGCACACAACGCACACACGGACCGCCGCACGCAACGCACGACGTACGCCACGTTCATGCGACACACGTACGCAGCGCACAGCCGTACGCACGTTCATGCATCACCAGCGTAACGCACGCACGCACGCACGGACCGTACGCACGTTCATGCACACACGCACGCACAGTGCGCGTCCGGCACCAACCGTACGCACGTTCATGCACACACGCACGCACGCAGCAACGTACGCACGTACGGCAGAAACTCACGGATACGTACTCACTGCATCTCCGTGTACATCGCGGTACTAGGTAGGCAAAATGGGTCGGCACGCACGCACGAGCAGCGCACGCACGTGGCAACACGCACGCCCGCACAGCACGCAACGCACAGATGCGACAACACCGCTCTGCGAAGCGTCTACCCTGGAAGTACTATGCCGGTGCATCAGGGCCCAGTTACTCGCGCTTCACATCAAATTCAAAAGCAAACTCATATCTACGACTCTGCTGGTGAATTAAATTACCGTATTTAGCATATAAGCGATCGATGAAAAGCCGAAGAAATTGTATTTCTACTAGCAGAAGATAAATAGGCATAGAGTACACGTGTAACCGACGCTGAATTATTATCCAAACGTAACCAACATAAAGATTCGACTGTACGCAAAGCTGTTTTAGAAAGGCATGGTGATCTATATCTGTAGATCTTAAATGTTACTTTTGCGCATTAAAACCCGGTTTTCCCCGGGCTTGCGGGCAACGCCCGCGTACAGCGCGAACATCGCGTCTTGATTTTAAATAAGAAGAAGTTCATGCTATGTATAGTTGATTCTTCGCCAGGGCAGATTAGCAATTACGACTTTAAACATCCGCAGTGTTTCTATGGGGCGGGCGCGATCTAACGCATGTAGGCTGTCCTTACAAGAACTTCCAGAAATAGCGTTTACTTTCGTCTGATGTTAAGTGAAAAGTACAAAGCCGAGGTAGAAAGTCAGTCTTAGGCGGTCTGGGTAAAAGATTAGTCTTTGGGTAACTTAGGTTAGGTAGGGGTTCCGTAATTGTAGGTGAAGAGGAAGAGGAGCCGATGGGAAAGGTGTGTTTTGAGAGAGGGAAGTGTGCATGCGCTTCGCATCGCAATCACACACTTCGCTGAAGCGCAACTAGCACACGAGGGCATCACTGCGTCAGAATGTTGTGTCATTGCTTGGCTGAGTCTGGTCGGTGTTGGAGAATATTGTAGGTCGGCGGCGAAGATGGTAGTGCTTGCGTAGAGGCAGGCCGAACCACACTCTATGAGAGACGCAAAGCTAATTTTGTGGTTAGGGTAAGGTTTAAAGGACAGGAAGTAAAACGGAAATAAAAAGGGGAAGAGAGAGAGAGAAGGAGTACTGAGAGAGATTATATATATATAATATATATATATATATACTATATACACATCATAATAAATTAATGAAAAATTTTACCATTTAAAACCATTATTAAATTATTGTAACCATCTCTTTTGTCTGATATAATTCAGAATTATTTTCTCGCAGCCACGCCTGACGCATACGACAGCGACACGCTGACAAGTATAACCAAACAAAGATTGTTATCAATGGCTGGCAATAGGTTCGGCATAACTACACGCGTACACTAGCCGTGCCTACACCGTATCCTAGCACCGCCAAAACGTCCAATGCCGCGAACCTTGCCCGACACCACTCACAGCAGGTGAGACAATCGAGAGCGATGCGTCTAATTCATTGTGAGCGCAAGTAGCAGTGCTCATTAAAGAGGACAGCGGAACCTCCCGTCGCCGCGCACTGCGCACGCAACGCACGCAGGACGCCACACCAGCAGCACGGACCCGTGTCTAAATGAGGGTCTTGGACGACCAAATTTTTTTTCCCCACTTGAGTTCCGAACCATAGCCAATCAGCGCACTCCATTCAGCTTTCGACTTCCTCGAAGCAACAATGTAAAATGTATAGCCACCTATCCCTAAACGCCTAACCCTTAACCTAACCCTAACCAGTAACCCGAACCCGAACCTAACACTAACTATAATCCAGACTATATATATAAGCACTCATTTATGTAGGCAAAACAACTTATCTATGTGGTCCGGAACTGCAATGGGAAAAAAATTGTCGCAGGCCTGGACCTCGTTAGAAAACGTTTGATTTAAATATTTATTATCTAATGTTTAAAATTTCGGCCACGTTTGCCACCAACACCTTATACGCAAAAAATGGATCACATTTCAAGGCTTTAAAGTTTGTTTCGTAACTAGTTATGATACTGCTCATACGGAGCCCTGCTTATAGTCAGTATTAGTTACTGATTTAAGGAATAACGCACGCGACAGCCAGCGCGCGCGCGCGCGCAACACACCTACACACAGCACACACACGCGCAGCCACGACAGACACAACACCACACACACACACCACAACACACACACATAACAGCACACAGCACTACACCATCACACACACACACAGCACACGACACACACACACACACATACACACAACACCAACACATCACCACACACAGCACACATCCACGAGCAGCACCACACACAACACATCAGCACACCAGACGTGCGCCACGCAGCTCAAAATGGCACGCAGCATGCTACGCATGCCGACCTCCAACTCCTGCAAAGCATGCTCCACAGCACGCTGCGACCAATTACGCGGCGTGCATAGTTTCATTCGCACGGCACGAATACATATAAACTGCCCAATAGGCATGTTTTTGACAGCGTGCACACAATAAGGGCAATGACACACGCGCTATTCGCAATTCACATAGGCAGGTCTTCACGGCCAGCAAACAAAACCCGTCATCTCTGCGCAGCGCCACCCAAACCGCATTAGATACAGCCGCACCGTCTACTCTGCAGCGTGTAGAAAGGCAAGGACGCGCAGACAGTAGCTCCCTCTGGTGAGCTAGAAGTGGACAGCCAGCTTACCCTTGTCATTAGCTATGACAACGACGGGTGAGTTGTTAAAGTCGTTGGCACAACGTTGCTTCGAAGTAACAGTAGGTTACTGCGAGTCCATTTCCTGGTAATTACCAAAAAACCTATACGTAAACCTGAAACTACATATATATCTGAAAAGTACATACGCGCAGGCCTACACACACACACACACACACACACACACACACACACACACACACACACACAACACAGCACACACACACACATACATACACACACACACACACACACACACACATGTACACACACAAACACCACACACACACACACAGCACACACACACACCACCCACCACAACACACACACATGTACACACACACACACACACACAGCACACATTCGACCACACACACACACACACACACACACACACACCACACACACACACATACAACACACACACACACACACACACACACACACACACACATGTACACACACACGCACACACACACACACAGCACACACACAACACAGCACACACACACAACAAGCACATACCCCCACCCCCACCACCATCACAACAACCCCCCACACCACCACCACCACCGCCAACACCACACCACCACCACCACCACACAACACACAAGCACACATCCGTCTTCAACCCTCGATCTGTCACAAGCTCTCTCTATTTCTTCCCACATTTAGACGACTACGTCGTGCAAGTGAGTAACTGCGTGGCGGCACGATGGAGCCTACCAGAGGATGATCTGATCGATGAAGAGCGGGTGAGTGTCAACATAGACTGTCGACATCATTGCAAGAGCCAACGTGTAATTTCCGACCAAAATCTCCAAATTGTTAATCGTCTGTCCGTCCGTTGCATATTTGTCACCGTTCGCTGATTACCAGTCATTTGTTATTCTGTACTCTAACTATAGTTTATAGCCTATTCACACATTAGCGGTAATCACTTAGTGGCTATTAAACGGTGCTATGGACCATTTACAGATTACCATGGATCACCTTAACAGCTAATATGCGATGTATGACCAATTATTGGTGTACCATTAATCACCCCAAATAGCTATACTTGCGGAGCTTACAACATGGCGTGATATCTGCGAATGATTTCTTACTCTATTTCTTGCACAGATGTAGCAGCGCTAGCGCTCGTAGACTAGCCCAGGACGTAACAACACAAGTACTACCTGGTAAGTTGAATGCATACTGATTATTGACATCGATAGAAACAGCCATGTGTCTCAGCACGCGCAGGATGAGGACTAGTAACATTTGATATAACCCCAAATTATATCGCTTTCTGTGTTGTGTAAAAGATAAGTCAACTTATATCGGCTTATATGTTGTGGGCAAAAGATAAGTCAACTTATATCGCTTATTGTGTTGTGTAAAAGATAAGTAAACTTATATAGCTTATTATGTTTGTAAAAGAATAAGTAAACTTATATCGCTTATTACGTTTGTGTAAAAGATAACTCAACTTATATCGCTTATTGTGTGTGTAAAAGATAAATCAACTTATATCGCTTTCTGTGTTGTGTAGGGATAAGTCAATTAGAGACTCTGAAGGACAAAACAACAGAAAAGATACTCTAACGCGCCTTTCAGGGCTTCCAGTTTCCCGACGCGGCAGAACAGTTTACTTTCAATGTGATGTCAACGTTTGTTACCAGCAATGCTACGTGAGTATGCGTTACGAATTCACTTTTACTATACGCTCATTGACCCAACACCATGCTGTTTCTCGCGTCACCCTACGTCTGTTTTTCTTGCTCTAAAGCCAAATCTCTAATTATTTTCTCATCTTTTTCTCTCATTCGCTCACCTCATTCTACCCCTCTCTCACTCTGTTTCACTCGCAGACGGCACGCACGCACGTACACACAGCACACACACACACACACACACCACACCCCACACACACACAACCCCACACACACACACCACCGCCATCACACAATCGACACACGTGCACTCACTTTCCCTATCTCGCTCTCCCTCACCTGCACTCGATCTCTAATCTCCCCGCGTAGTACTACGTCGTGCGTACACAATTGTCATTGCATTTCACTTGATGTTTTTCCAGGCCCTCTGCTCCCAAGTGCTCGCACCAAACAGCGATTCGCTCGTCGGTAGATTCTGTAGAAGCTGAGGAGATGAAGGCAGAGAATTCTCATCGGCGTGGCTGGAGATAAGGATGCTTCAGAGGATGGCAGGCACGCTCGTAAGAACACGAGTGTCGTATCCCACACGTCTGTTCGGCGACGTTCAAGCCTTCCTGATCGTAGAGCAACAGATCACGCGGGTGAGTGTGTGAGCTTGTAACCACGCTTAGTGGCGGGCTAGATTCATTATTAAGCCGTGGGCCGTGTGTGTGTGCTTGGCGTTGCGTTTTACTTGCGTGTATGTGTACGGCGTGCTTATGTGCCTCTGTGCGCGTGTGTGTGTGCGTGTGCGTGCGCATGTGTGTGTGTGTGTGTGTGTGTGTGTGTGTGTGTGTGTGTGGCGTGTGTGTGTGTGTGTGTGTGTGTGTGTGTGTGTGGTGTGTGTGCGTGTGTGTGCGCGTGTGCGTGCGTGCGTGTGTGTGTGCGTTCTATCGTTCGTGTCTCTGTCAGCGTCCGCGATTTCGCAAGTGTGAATCTAACGAGACAATCACTTGCTCTCTGACACAGGCTCTCACGGCCCACTTCGCAACAGCAGACACAGCGATGCTTGCATCAGTAGATCCACGTTCGTGATCACTTTCGCCGGGCTCGGCTTGCTACTGATCGCATGTGCCATCGTCATCATCTTCAAACTGCTGGAGAGGCACAGGGACTCGGAGTATTTGATTACCTTTCCACCGCAAGAAGCTTACAGCAAATGCTAATGTCATCTTTACTGACTGAAAATGTTTAATTACGGACGAATTACTGTCGTTAAGGGAAGGCGACGTACTTGTATGTGCGTGCACACGCGCGCTTTCATGTACGCTCACGCGCGCGCGCGTGTAAGAACGCGTACCTTCTATATTTGACATACACTAACTCACATCGATTCCTGTATGTAACAGTTAGAATATTGTATAAAGAATACACAGATAAATGTAGGTGTACGCGTCTAACTACACAGCCAACATGCAGTGTAATCAAATGAAACAACCGTTTCCAACAAAATATATAAAAGTATAGATGGGTTGGCTTTGTATACATCAAACCATGGATATTATATTTTTATAAGATAGTTTCCGCTCAAGAAAGCCCGTGCTTTTAACTAATTAATTAATATCTATAGGTATGGTTTATAATTAGGCTTTGCAGCAATACTGTAGCTATACTACCTATCTGTACTCTTTATACTTATACTTAGTATCATTCCCCTGTTTATTTACCTATAGATGCAACTCCTGCAAAACCCTATTGTACCTGTGAACACGTTTAATGAGTATTAATTACCTATGTAATTAGCTATCTGACTTAGGGGACCATTGTTCTAACACGATCATGTCATACCAGTATGACAGAAGAACAGATTACTCTTACAATTGTTTTTTTATTGTTGAGAGATTTTATAATGATGTTTTTTTTTACATTTGTTGTCATATTTTGTTATTAATTTGCTGATTGGTTGATTATTTATGTTGTAATCAGTAAACAGGACTATTTCGTGGCCTCTATTGTTACACACGCATGCACGCATGTGTCTATGGGTGTGCGTGTGCGCGTGTGCGTGTGTGCGTGTGTGCGTGTGTGCGTGTGTGCGTGTGCGTGTGTGTGTGCGTGTGCGTGTGCGTGCGTGCGTGCGTGCGCTGTGAAAACTATAATTTTTGATAATATGCAGAATGTGTTCCTAAGCATACTACTAAAATAACTCGTAATCATTTAGTATGTATAAGACAGAAAGAATCATCAAAGTAAAAAGTTGTATTCCCATACCTTTCCGTGTTTGAGGCTTTTTCTATGGAAGGCTAGCACCATGCGGTACCACCGCAAAAATTGTGTTTTGGAAAAGTTTTACTTATCTACATAATATGCACGCACACGCACGCACACACGCGCGTGTGGAACCTCCCGTCGCGCAGCACTGGCACGCGACGCACGCAGACGCTCACAAGCAGCACGGACGCTGTCTAATGACGTGGTCGACGGACGCAAAATTTTTTTTTCCGCCACTTGAGTTCCGACCAAGCGCAATGCAGCGCGACTCCATTCACTTCGACTTCCCTCGAAGTCAACAATGTAAAATGTATAGCCCCTATCCTAACGCGTACTTAGAGACCCTAACCCTAACCCTAACCAGTAACCCGAACCGAACCGCTAACACTAACTATAAATCAACTATATATATAAGCACTCATTTATGTACAAAACAGCTTATCTATGTGTGGGTCGGAATCTGCATGGAAAAAATTTCGGCAGGCCTGGACGCTCGTTAGAAACTTTTGATTTAAATATTTATTATCTAATGTTTAAAAATTTGCGCCACGTATTGCCACAACACCTTATACGCAAAAGAATGATCAACATTCAAGCTTAGTTTGTGTTCGTAACTAGTTATGATACTGCTCAATACGGAAGGCCCTGCTTAATAGTCAGTATTAGTTACTGGATTTAAGGAATATACGTCACGCACGCCAGCGCGCGCCGAGCGCAACCACGCCGACACACAACATGGACAGCACGCGCGCACAACACACACACACACACACACACACACACACAACACATACAACACACAGCACCAGTACACACACACACAACAAGCACACACACACAACACACACACATACACAACATCACACGCATACACACACCACACACACACACACCACACACAGCACAGCACACACACACACACACACACAACACACAAAGTTACGTGCGCACGCACACACAAACACACATCGTGGCACGCACGCATGCTACGCAGCAGCGCACCGTCCACTCCTGCAAAGCATCCACGCCACGCTCGACCATTACGCGGCGGGCATAGTTCATTCGACAGCACGAATAGCATATAAACTGCCCAATAGGCATGTTTTTGACACGATGCACACAATAAGGCAATTGAACACACGGTAATTCGCATTCACATAGGCAGGTCTTCGCAGGCAACAAACCGCGTCATCATCTGCGCAGCGCCACCCACGCTAGGATACACCGACCGATCTACCTGCACGTGTAGAAAGGCAAAGGACCCAGCACAGTAGCCCCTCTGGTGAGTAAGAAGTGGCACAGCAGCTACCGCTTGTCATTAGGCTATGACAACGTACGGGTGAGTTGGTTAAAGTCTTGCCACAACGTTGCTTCGAAGTACAGTGGTTACATGGCCGAGTGCCATTTCCTGTGAATTACCTATACGTAAACCGAAACTACATAGCAGTATCTGAAAAGTTACATACGCGCGGCCATACACAGACACACACACACGACACCACACACACACGACACAACCCACACACACACAGCACAGCACACACACAAACACCACACATACATCACACACACACCAGCCGGCACACAACAACACACACACACACATCAACACACACACCATGCATCAGCACATCACAGCACATCACACACACACACACACACACACATACACACACACATGAGCGACACACCACACACACACACACACACACACCATCACACACACAACATCACACACACAACACACACACACACACACACAGCACATACACACAGCACACAAAGCACACACACACACACCACACACACATCACACACACACCACACAACACACGACACAGCCAGCACACACACACACCACACACTACACACATACCGCGCCACCCCCACACCCGACACAACCCCCACCAACCACCAGCCACGCCAAACCACACCAACCACCACCGACACCACGACACAGAGCACACCCGTCTTCATACCCTCGACTGTCAAGTGCTCTCTATTTCTTCCCACATTTAGACTGTACTTACGTCGTTGGCCAAGTGAGTAACTAAGTCGTGGCGCACGATGGAAGCCTACTCAGAGGTGATCTGATGCGATGAAGATGGGTGAGTGTCAACACTATGACTGGTCGATCATGCAAATTGCAATGAGCCATACGTGTAATTGGCCGACCAATCCAAGGCATGTCATTTTAATCGCTGTCGTCGTCCGTTGCTATATTGTCACGTTCTGCTGATTATCTCAGTCATTTGTTATTCTGGTACTCTACTATAGTTTAGTAGCCTATTCAACATTATGCGGTAATCACGTTAAGTGGCTATTAAATCGGCTGCTATGGACATTTGATCAATTACCCATGTGGGATCACCTAACAGCTAATATGGCGATGTTAGACCATATATTTTGGTTACTGGCATTAATCATCCCAATCGAGCGATCGCCTATATACTTGCGAGCTTACAACATGGCGTGATATGCGGCGAATGATTTCTAGCTCTATTTCTTGCAAGGCAGATGTAGCAGGCTAGGCGCTCGTAGACTAGCCCAGGACGTTAGCAACACAAGTATCCTAACCTGGTTGTTTGAATGCATACGATTATACATCGATAGTAAACCAGCACATGTGTCTCAGCCGCCCAGGATGAGGACTAGTAAGCAATTGATATAATCCCCCAAGATTATATCGCTTCTGTGTTGTGTAAAAGATAAGCTCATACTCTATATCGTCGCTTTTTATGTGTGGCAAACAGAAAGTCTAACTATATCGCTTATTGTGTTGTGTAAAAGATAAGTAAAGCTTATATTAGCTTATTCATGTTGGTGTAAAAGATAAGTAAACTTTATATGCTTATTAGCGTTGTGTAAAAGATAACTGTCAAGCTTATTTATGCGCTTATTGTGGGTAAAAGATAAATAACTTATTTATCGCTTTGTGATTGTGTTAGGGGACTAAGTCAATTAAGAGACTCTGAAGGACCACAACAGAAAGTATACTTCTATCGCGCCTTTCAGCGGGCTTCCAGTGTTCCCGACCGGCAGATACCGTTTACATTTCAATGTGATGTCAACGTTTGTTTACCAGAGCATGCTACGTGAGTATGCGTTTACGCAATCACTTTTACTATAGCTCATTGACCCAACCCATGCCTGTTCTTCCGTCCCACCTTAGCGTCTGTTTTCTTGCTCTAAGCCAATCTCTATTAGTTTTCTCATCTTTTTCTGCTCATTCGCGCCACGCTCATTCTAACCCCTCTCTCACTCTGTTTTCACTCGCGACGCACGCAACGCACGTACACACACGCAAGCACACACACACATCACACGAGCACACACACACGCACACACACTGGGACACACACACATCCCGCCCACACACAACTCACACACGGTCACTTTTCCCCTATCTCGCTGCTCTCCTCACTGCACTCGATCTCTATCTCCCCTGCGTATACTAACGTCGTGCGTACAGCTCATTGTCAGTTGCATTTGCATATGATATGTTTTTCCAGCCCTCTCGCTCCAACGTGCTCGCGCCAACAGACGATTCGGCTCGTGCGGGTAGAATTCTGTCAGAAAGCTGAACGGAGATGAAGGCAGAGACATTCATCCGGCGTGCTGGAGATAAGGATGCTTCAGAGGATGGCAGGCACGCTTCGTAAGAAAGCAGCGAGTGTCCGTATCCACACGTCTGTTCGCGACGTTCAAGCCTTCGCTGATCGTAGACAACAGATCACGCGGGTGAGTGTGTGAGCTTGTAACCACGCTTAGTGGCGGGCTAGATTCATTATTAAGCCGTGGCCGTGTGTGTGTGCTTGCGTTGCGTTTACTTGCGTGTATGTGTACGGCGTGCTTATGTGCCTCTGTGCGCGTGTGTGTGGCGTGTGCGTGCGCATGTGTGTGTGTGTGTGTGTGTGTGTGTGTGTGTGTGTGTGTGTGTGTGTGTGTGTGTGTGTGTGTCGTTGGGGGGTGTGTGATATATACATATATATATATATACATATATACATATACACACATTTACATTTAAAACATCATAAAATTTTACATTTAAAACATTATTAAATTATTGTACCATCTCTTTTGTCTGATATAATTCGATTATTTTCTCGCAGACGCCTGACGCATACCACAGCGACACGGCTGACAAGTATACTAACAAGATTGTCATCATGGCTGGCAATAGGTTCGGTATACTACGCGGTACAAGCCGTGCCTACACCGTATCCTGCACCGCCAAACGTCCAACCCCGCCCGACACCACTCACAGCAGGTGAGACATCGAGCGATGCGTCTAATTCATTGTGAGCCAGTAGCAGTTGCTCATTAAGGGGGAAACGGACACTCTCCCGTCCGCACGCACGCACGCACGCACGCAGACGCTCACACAGCACGGACGCTGTCTAATGATGGGTCTGGACGCAAATTTTTTTTCCCCACTTGAGTTCCGGACCTACAGCTCATATCAGCGCACTCCATTCACTCGACTATCCTCGAAGCCAACAATGTAAAATGTACTACCCTATCCCTAACCCGGAACTATGAACCTAACCCTAACCCTAACCAGTAACCCGAACCCGAACCCTAACACTAACTATATCCACACGCTATCATCATATAAGCACCATCTTATTAGCAAATACAGCTTATCTATGGTGGTGTCCGGAACTCAGTGGGAAAAAAATTTCGCGGCCTGGACCTCGTTAGAAACTTTGATTTAAATATTTATTATCTAATGTTTAAAATTTCGCCACGTTTGCACAACACCTTATACGCAAAAATGATCACATTTCAAGCTTAGTTTATGTTCGTAACTAGTTATATGATACTGCTAATAACGGAGCCCTGCCCTTAATAGTCTAGTATTATGTTACTGGATTTAGAAATACGTCACGCACGGCCACGCGCGCGCGCGCGCACACACACACACACAACAAGGTGACGCTGTCGCGCCACACACTAGCACAGCACACACACACACACAACACACAACACATACAACACACACACGCATACACACACACAACAACACACACACACAGCACACCACACACACACATACACACCACACGCATTCCACACACACACACAGACACACACACACACACACACACACACACACACAAACACACACAGCACACACAAAGTTACGCTGCGCCGCACACACAAACACACACACGTGCTACGCACGCATGCACGCAGCACGCGCACCGTCTCACTCGCGCACTCCACGCCACCGCTCGAACCATTACGCGGGCGTGCATGCTCATTCACGCACGAATACATATAACTCCAATAGTGCATGTTTTGACAACGATCACACAATATAGCATTGAACCACACGGCTAATTCGCATTCACATAGCAGGTACTTCGCAGCAACAAGACCGTCATCATCTGCTGCGCGCCACCCCACGCTAGGATACATCCGAACCGGTCTACCTGCACGCTGGTGAAAAGGCAAGGACCACAACAGTAGCTCCTCTGGTGAGTAAGGAAGTGGGACAGCAGCTTACGCTTGTCATTAGCTATGACAACGTACGGTGAGTTGCGTTAAAGTATCGTTGCCCACAACGTTCGCTTCGAAGTACAGTAGGTTACATGCGATGTCCATTATCCTCGGTAATTACCTATAGCGTAAACCTGAAACAGCATACAGTATCTGAAAAGTTACAGTACTGCGCGGCCTACACACACACACACAGACACGACACCACACACACACACGACACAACACACACACACACACACACACACACACACACAACACACACATACATAACACACACACACAACACACACACACACACATGTACACACACACACGCACACACACACACACACACTACACATCAGCATACACACACACATGTACACACACCACAGGACACACCACACTACATCACACACACACGACACACACACACACACACCACACACACACACACACATCACATCACACACACACACACCACAACATCACACATCACGATGTACACACACACGCATCACACACACTCACACACACACACCACAACACACACACACATA